AACCTATATAAATTTTCAGAATAATTTTTGGACACTGAACGCGCCTCCACGAGCCAGCTATGGCACGGCCACACTCACAGGCAAAGCTGACAGAGGCCCTAACGGCCTTTAAGAATATTTCGTTAAAGTGACGGAATATTCTGTTAAATAGTAACGCCATTACTTAACGCTGTTAGGATATCCCGTCAGAGTTGACGGAATGTTCCATCGTCTTCTCCAGTGGTCCTTGCCAGTCGTCGTCGTCTTATTCGCCAAAATCTGGAAAAAGTCGCCGGTTTCTAGGAAATTTTCAAACCTTCATATCTTCTTCATTTCTCAACCATTTTTTTTTACAAAATTTATATGGAAATGAAGCTTATGAAGAGTAAAATCATGTTATACCTTTTTGGAGTCCAAAAAGTGGACGGAGGTGGCTTGAAAATGGCTTGAAAGATCAAGCCAAAACTGAGACTTCTTGAAACTGGGTGGTTTCATGTCAAAACTTCCTCAAACTTGTCCTAGGAGCCTCAAGGAGTTACAAGAAAACTTCCCCGACCTTTAAAACTCCTTGACTCGGCCTGAAACTCGTTGGACTCAAACTTCTTGAATTGGAGCTTCTAAGTTGGTGAGTCAAACCTTAACTAAATCACGATCTGGTTGCGTGGCTATGTTCGTGGTGGTGAGGGGAACACAATGGGGTAGTTTTTAGGTCGAGTTTGTGTGTTGCAGATAGAATGAGAGTTGGGGGAAAAATAGTGTAGAGAGAGAGTTCTGAGTTTCTCAGTGGCGACTGGTGTGAGTGTGAAGCTCACTGATTGGTTATGTAAAGGAGGGCAGAATCTAATTGGATGGTGAGGAGAGGAAACCAGGAAAATGAATGGAGGAGGGTGATTTGTGCAAAGTGATTGGCTGATTGTGTGAGGGAGAGGGAACACTGATCCCCTTTTTGTGGGATTGATTGACTTTCAGAGTTTGTACAACCCTTAATGTATAAAATTAGATTTCTTCAAATGTTTTAGACACTGTAAATCCATACGCGCGTGTACAAGAATACCCATGGTCAACGTATTTTAACGGAGAGTAACTTTTTCCTTACGAATCTAATTCGGGTCGAACTTGCGCTCACACAATCATATCAATGAGTACTATTTAATTACGATAGCGAGAATAATAATTTAAGATCAAATAAACACGTCCACGTCACTTGCCAACAAGGGCATAATTGTCAATTCACATACTAGGGGAGAAATTAGATAGAAAATTAAGGACAGGTCGTCACAACCTACCCCCTTAAGAAAATTTCATCCCCGAAATTTCAAGACTGACTATAGATCATAATCAAAGAATAGACGTGGATACAAATTTCTCATGCGCTTCTCTATCTCCCAAGTAGCTTCCTCAACTGAATGGTTTCTCCACAAGACTTTCACTAATCGAACAATCTTATTTCTAAGAACTTTGTCATTCCAATCAAGAATCGTCACTGGTACCTTGTCATAAGTCAAATCTAGATTGATCTCTAGTGGCTAAGAAGGGATGACATATGACGGATTAGAGACGTATCTCCGTAGCATCGACAAGTGGAACACATTATGTACTTTCGACAACTCTGGTGGTAAAGCGAGTCGATAGGCAACTTCACCGACTTACTTAACGATTTGGTATGGTCCGATGTACCTAGGGCTGAGCTTCCCTTTCTTTCTGAATCGTACAACACCTTTCCATGGTGAGAGCTTCACGAATACCCAATCATTAACCTTATAAACTTTATCGGTGGAATGTCTGTCGACTATACTCTTCTGCTGATCCTGGGTTGCTTTCAGGTTAGCCTTTATCACCTGAATGTTCTACGTCATCTCATCCACGATCTCAGGGCCCACCAAAACTCTTTCACCAACTTCTGACCAACACGGAGGGGTACAACATGGTTTTCCGTACAACACTTCAAATGGTGCCATACCAATGCTGGCATGGAAGTTGTTGTTGTAGGCGAACTTTATCAATGGTAAGCGTTTGTGCCAAGTGTCTTCGAACTGTAGAACTGATAATCTTAACATATCCTCCAATGTCTGGATAGTTCTCTCTAACTACCCATTAGTTTGAGGAGATAGGCGGTGCTATAGAGTAATCTTGATCCCAAAGCTTCTTGGAAAGCTACCCAGAACTTCGAAGTAAATCGGGGGTCCCGATTAGAAATGATACTAACTGGAACTCCATGATACTTAACAACTTCAGAGATGAACTGTTCGGCCAATTGACTCAACGAGTAATTTTCATGAACGGGTATAAAGTGTGCTGATTTGGTAAGTCGGTCAACTATCACCCAGATACCATCATATCCATTTTACGTACGAGGTAATTTGTACACGAAATCCATCATAATATCTTCTCATTTCCACTGGTGTGTCGGGAGTGGTTGTAGCAACCCAAATGGCTTCTTTCTCTCCGCCTTGACCTATTGACAAACTGCACAACGATTTACATACTCAACAATTTCTCTTTTCATACCAGGCCAATAGTAGAAAGGTCGAATAGTATGATACATCTTGGTACTTTCGGGATGCATCACATAAGTTAAGATATGCGCTTCATCCAGTATTTCCTTCTTTAATTTGTACCTGATTGTAGCTAACACTAAAATCCATCAGCCATTAATTTGAGGAATTATTTTGTTCCATTTTCTTAAGAGGTTAAAATCGAAGGCTTGATTTTGGGGGAGGGGATCGATTAAATCGTGCATCTTTAATTTTTAATTTTAGAACATAAGAGCTTGTTTTTATTTCATCCAACGTTTACCAATGTATACATAGGAAAAATTAGTATCCAGTCCCTAGTTAATAATCTTCATTGACTGAGACCTTATTAGTTTTCAAATTTTGATTCAAGTACCTAGCATTTATATGATAATGAATTTACATGTTTACTACATATTTTTTAAAATAAGAATTAGTAATTGATTTAGGACTTTAATATAAAACAAATTTTGAGTGGATTATAATGTCACTCAACGAAGTCCAATGGCAAGCCTCTAGTGCAAGCCAAGTTTCACACAAGTTTATATTGGCAAGGGTTCCTCTCTAAACAAAAAACTTGCCTATTAAAAAAAAAAAAAAAAAAAAAAACAGAGGACGATTCCTTTCAGTACGTAGGACTGTTAATGCAATCCCTATGTCAGTACGTAGGACTCCTACCCATTCACGTAGGGGATTGTTGACGAATGCATGTATCAGTTTTTGGGTGGAGAAGAGAAGGCGTTTCCTTTTCTAGTGCGTTATTTTTCTTCTTTTACAAATTTTTTTTATTACCCGAATTGAGTTGTAGTATTAATTCATACTGCATATCCAAAAAGGGAAGAATCCGACCGATTTACTTTCTTAATTAGTAGGATAATAATCTTATATACCTATTCAAGACGGCAATAGGCTAATATAAAAGCAAGGGCTGATATAGACATATTGCTACTTCTTCTTGGAGCCTTTCATTGAGATAAATCTAGGGATTTGTTCTGTGTTGACATCTCTTTATGCTTAATTGGTTCCTTAACATCATATTGTTGTTGAGAATACGAAGGTGAAGTGATCCGATCTAGTGGTTCAAGTAGTTGCAAGAGCCGGTCATCTCTTAGAATGCATATGTCTAGTGGAATGAGAATGAGTAAGTTCCTTGCGTATTACTTTTGAGGAAAAATTAGTTAAAATTATCAATTTTCAAATTGAAGTATTGTCGTTGATGTTTGATTGCTATATTATCCATATTTGTGAAAGCAATTAGAAAATTTGTCGCTCTAAACACGTCTCCAAGAAATCGATTCAAATTGGTGAGCAAAATGCTTAATATCTTTTGTAATAGTCTTCAATCTCCATCGATTACCAACTTAGCATCACCCCCCACAGAGACAGGCTTAAAACTTTGGTCTTGCTAATTTTGAAGCTTCCCTGAGAGCAATCCCTTTCACAATAGGGACAGTAGTACCTCTAAACTGTAGATTGATTCGATTTGAACTAGGTTGTCCCTTGATTCTTCTTCTTTGTGGCCTTTTCTCTATTTCGCGTCCAGATTTTTTGTTTCTGTATTGTTGCTTGCATGAGAATTAATTAAAACCGTTCAATTGATTTATCTTCTCTTTATATGGTCGATAGTGATATATATCCTCCAAATATAACAAGCATTCCTATGAATATTTAAGTATTTTTTTTAGTTTATTTTTCTCCCAAATGCTGTTAGAATATTATTTTTTTTCAATTTAAAATTTAGGTACAGTGGAAGGTCGAATCGTAACGAAACAAAAAGGTTATTTTATCTTGCACGGCAATTCTCTTTTCTGTTAGAAGCCATTACTTGCACAGGTCGCATTTGCATGGGATGGAATTCTGAATCCTTCGTAGTCGCCAAATCAATTATCTTAAGACACCAACAAAGACTGAATATTTCCGACAAAATTTTAACGTGGTCCATGTGTATGCACTCTATACAATTTGTACACTGTAGATAACCTTGTAGGACTCTGTATAAAGGGTCCTTCTGCTACCATTTTAGACACTCCAGAAGAAATCAAGTTATCTCACTGCTTTCTCTCAGTATCATTGTTCCTTCTTTCCGCACCATTATACTGACTTGTATATAAATAAAGACGTAAACAGAGTAATCATCATTTGCGTTTTACTTCAATCTCTAACAAAGATTTTCTCACTTTTATATATTTTGGGATGTGATATCCACACACCTCATTTTATTTCTCACATATTTTTTTAATTTTCGACCGTTGAATCAGATGAATTGAAGAAGATCAACGGACATAAATTATCAAAAGGTGTGTGAGAAGTAAAATAGGATGTGTGGATAGCACATCCCTATATTTTAAACACAGAATTTTTTATTTTTTATTTTTTTGCATTTACTAAGGAAAATATTTAGAAGCCAATTCGTTTGTTGGTCGAGAAGCCAATCATTTAGAAATTATCATTTGTGTAAAGTTTTGGTTGTGAAAACTGAAAAGTTATGTTTTCCCTTATTTTATTTGGTGAGCCCGCAGAAGCTAACCAATGGACAGCTCCAAATTGTACCCTCCTAGATATCTACATTCTCTCTAACTCCACCAAACCATTTTGAAACTTCTCTCCCTCTCTTTCAGTTCCCTCCCTCTCCATATTTAGTTTACCAGGAAAAACCAAATCCCAGTCTCCATCATTTCCACATTACCTTAATTTTAACCATATATATTATTGCTTCATAGTTCTATGATCTATGTATATATATATACTTTGTGAGTTGGACCAGCATTCTAATATCCCTCTGTGTTTTCATGGCTTCTTTTGCAATTGGAGCTGCAGTAGTTCTGCTTCTACTTCCTCTTCTGCATCACCAAGTGCATGGAGGACTCGTAGGGATCGATATCAAAGACTGTGATGTTTCTCACGGAAACTGGGTTTTTGATGATTCATATCCTCTTTATGCCGCGCCCAGCTGCCCCTTCATTGAGAAGGAATTTGATTGCGTAGGGAATGGCCGCCCGGACAAAAACTACCTCAAGTATAGATGGCAACCCTTTGCCTGCAGCTTACCAAGGTACGCCACGATTTTCCATATTATACACGCATATTGCATACATACGCAGATAATATTCTCTTGCCCGACTTCTTACATGTTGTATGACGAAAGTCTCAGTTTGAATCACACATATTCAAATAAAACTTGGTCATCCGAGCAAATAATTAGATTGCTAATGTGAGTTAACTAATTAGAAACTTATTGGTCCAAAACTTTTTGAGTTATCACCTTCTAATTTTACTTTCATGGTCTAACCATATATCCCCACACCCTGTTACATGCGTGACTCTATCTATGAACTGCTCGTTAGGCTGGTCCTTATTCATATGAATGCATTTTCGGTGAAAAAAAATCCTTCATTTTTTTTTTAATACCTCACGAGTTTTAGCAATGTCACATCGCATTAGTAATGAGGAATCTGATTTCCGTTTCAATTTACAATGATATTTCTAAAATTGATGAGTTTTTTTTTGAAAAGGCATTGGTCCTTATTACTTTCTAGGCATTTGAATTTGTAAAATATTTTATGGTGCTCTTAAGTATTGATTATTTTGGGTTTTTTAATTTTTAGATTTTGAATTTTGTATTTTTGACCAAGGTTTTAACTATTTAGTCAAAATAAGTTTCTGAAAAACAATTATAAATTCTGAAATATTCGATACTCCGAATCACCTTGTCCTAGAAAAAAGAATTCATGCCCTTGATGTTTTGGTTCAGAAAACTAAAAATTAATTTTGAGTAACTTTCAATAGCTTCCATCCTCGTATATATATGCTTTTGTTTCTTTTAGGGGTGTGATATCTACACACTCCATTTTACTTCTCAGATACCTTTTTAATTTTCGGCCGTTGGATCAGATGAATTGAAGAAGATCAATGGATAGAAATTATCAAAGGGTGTGTGAGAAGTAAAATGAGGTGTGTGGATAGCACACCTCTTCTTTTATTGTTGTTTGTGTTGTCCGATATTACCACTCTGGACAGACTGGCAAACTTAAAGCCCATGTGAGAGACGTGGTATGGCTTTTTGTTTTGAATTTGTTCAACTAATTTTTGCTCTGCTGTAATTTTTCCTTTAAAGTTTGGATTTTTGAATGTTGTTTTCATAACACTGTTTAGTTGATTACACGTAGACATTATTTTTCCACATTTAAATATTTCTCATTAAAACAACAATATAAATGAAAGTTCTTCTACCCTTCCTTACATATAAAAGTATTTTATTATTTAATTTATATTAATTTTAAACTTTATGGTTGGGTTGATTTTTGCATCATTACAACACATTTGAGATTGGTTTACAAGTTGTGAGCACCTCTATATGGTATTTACCCTTTTTCAACGCTATGTTGTGTGTGTGTGTGTGTGTGTGTGTGTGTGAGGACAATGGCCAGATGGATGGTATGTGGCCATTTGTTTTTATAAGTGAAAGTCTCTGTCACGTAATTGAGAAATATACTTTGCAAAAACAATATCAAACTAGTATTTACCCTTCTTTTCAACGCTATGTTGCATATATATATATATGTATGTATGTATGTATGTATGTATGTATGTATATGTGTGTGTGTGTATGTATGTATGTATGTATATGTGTGTGTGTATGTATGTATGTATGTATATGTGTGTGTGTTTGTGTATGTATGCATGTATGTATGTATGTATGTATATGTGTGTGTGTGTGTGTGTGTGTGTGTGTGTGTGTGTGTGTGTGAGGACAATGGCCAGATGGATGGTATGTGGATATTTGCTTGTATGTATGTATGTATGTATATGTGTGTGTGTGTGACGACAATGGCCAGATGGATGGTATGTGGATATTTGCTTTTATAAGTGAAAGTCTCTGTCACGTAATTGAGAAATATACTTTGCAAAAACAATATCAAACTAGTATTTACCCTTTTTTTCAACGCTATGTTGCATATATATATATATATATGTATGTATGTATGTATGTATGTATGTATGTAGTATGTATGTATGAGGACAATGGCCTGATGGATGATATGTGGATATTTGCTTTTATAAGTGAAAGTCGCTGTCACGTAATTGAGAAATATACTTTGCAAAAACAATAATAAACAGTAGTTGGTCATACATTTTTCTTAATTTGAACATGAAATTAACACATCTTAAGATTGATTTCTCTGGCCATATTCTTGATAAGAGGAGATTCCAAATTTCCAAAATGGATATATGGCACGATCGGAATTTGAATGTGCAATTCAAATTAACAATTTTGTGATAAAACAACATAAATTTACTACGAGGAAACATTGCACAAATCACACTATTTACTTATCTTTGTAACAAACTAGATCTACTTAACACGTTATAAAACTTTGATATTGACCTGTGTGTTTGAATTTTGATGATGTAGATTCAATGGAAGTAATTTCTTGTCGACGTACATAGGGAAAAACATCATGTTTGTCGGAGACTCATTGAGTTTGAACCAATGGCAGTCACTTACTTGCATGCTTTATACAACTGTTCCAGGAACCAAATACACATTGGTCAGGAAAGAAGGACTCTCTACATTCACATTCCTGGTGAGCATCTCGTAGTCAAATTATAGACCTAAATTCTTATATTTGGATCCTAAAAAAGTTGTCGATTTATGTATTTTGGGTTTCATCTCCAATGCAAGGACTCAAATCCTAACACTCATTTTGAGTTTTAAGTTTTGAGTCTTTGCATCGGAGGAGAAACAATGAACTCAAAACTCAAATTTTAAGTTTTGACAATTTAGGTATGTGCATTGAAAATGATTGGAGTCAAAACTCGAACCCTAAAATTTTTCCTTGTTGGCATAGGCTCCACCAATGACCCAAATCTCCTATTGAAAGTCAAATTTAGGTCTCAATATATTTGCCTCAAGTTTTAAGTCTTATGTGCATTGAAGATGCATTACTTCTCAAGTCTCAACTTACACCTAATTAGAATCTGTACATTAGATGCACAAAATGATGATCTATATATGTTTTTATTTTTCTTATAATTATTTCTATAAAAGAGAAGACTTAAACTAGGTACGCCAATGTGGTTAGTATCTCAAACTAATAACACATTATGTGTTTTAAAATTTTCATATAGTAACGTATTATTGGTTTGAGATACTGTTATAATGTCTCACTCAGCATAAAGAAGTAGATGATATTGTTAGGTTCAGTTTCGAAATGATCATGTTTGCTGCACTTTGGTCCTATGACAATGATTGCTTTGTGTTCCAAACTTTTTTGTTAATTCGAAATCAAGAAGTTGCCATTTATTAGTTTTACATGACAGATTTGGTTGGATTACTTACATGATGAATGGCAATTCAAAAATTTTCAGGAATACAATCTGAGTGTGTCCTTCTCCCGAAATGCCTTCATTGTCGACATTGTAGGCACACCTGATGGCCGTGTCCTTAAACTTGACTCAATCTCAGCCGAAAACGAGCAACTGTGGCTGCAAAACGATGTATTGATCTTCGACTCATGGCACTGGTGGCTTCACGTCGGAAGAAAGCAACCGTAAGACGCCTATTGATTTGAATTCCACTCAATCTTTGAGTTTGCGTGTTGTGCAAGAAATTGAATGTTTGTTTTCAAATGTGTTGCAGATGGGATTTAATTCAAGTGGGGAATCAAACTTACAAGGACATGGATCGGTTGGGTGCATATGAGAAGGCGTTGACCACTTGGGCTGGATGGGTTGACACCAAAGTGGACTCCAACAAAACCAAGGTCTTCTTCCAAGGTGTTTCTCCAGATCATAGCAAGTAAGTATTCTCAACTGCCTGTGCAAGTATGAACACCGCACAAACACGACCCACCCGAGAGAACCTGAATCACAACCCATTTCGTAGAATTGAAATATTGAGCAGAGTTTCTGATAGTTTCTAATCAAACTCAATCTTTTTGTTTGTATCAGTGCAACAGAGTGGGGTGATCCTCAAGCAATTAACTGCAATGCACAAACAGAACCACTGCCAGGCCCAGACTTTCCAGGAAAACCACATCCAGCAGAGCAAGTACTAGAGAAAGTGTTACGCACCGCGTCAAGGCCGGTCTATTTGCTCAATATTACAACTCTTTCGCAACTACGAAAGGATGCGCACCCGTCGGTCTATGGCCTCGGCGGGCACCGGGGCATGGACTGCAGCCATTGGTGTTTAGCTGGAGTTCCTGATACTTGGAATGTGCTTCTTCATGCAGCTCTTACTCAAAATTAGGCATTCTTTATATCTCAAAGAATTGTTTTTTTTTTTTTTTTTACCAAATTGGCGATTAATAATCATTGATTAAGCTTTTCTCAAATAAGGCTTCATTATGTTAAATCTTTCGTTAGCTATTCGTATTTGTAAAATACATTAGTTTTTACAGATTCAACGAAAAAAAATGCAAAATAGTTCGCTGAAGTTTTCTTGTGCTGTGCTCTCTGTTTGGTTTCCTTATGTTTTTTACTTACTAAATATATTTCTAATCTAAGCTACACTAAGGAGGGGGGAGGATTTGAACACGTGAAACAATGAGCCGAAAAGGAAGACTCTAACCACTAGGGAAATTCATCATATGTTCGAAAAGTAGAGTCTAATAGCTATATATAATTATGTAGAAAATTCAAGAAATAACCATGCAATTAAATATCAAATTTAATGCTTACGCAAGTGCAATAGATTTTTTTTTTTTTTGTTTTTTGAAAAAAACGATATTATATACACTAAGGGTGGAGGAGTGGCTAAGACTCACAATGGACTAGCAATAATGTGGTTCAAATTCACCTTTAGCGAGAATCGAAGCTAAAACCTCTCATTTAATTACAATTGAAGATGAATACTACTAGATCATAGTACTAAGTGGCAAAACAAACTCTTTTTATTTAGCTTCTTTTTGGCTATGCTTGTGTAGGCATGTACTCTTCGAACAATCATTACACCCTTTTTATTTTATTTTATTTTTTTTTGTAAATTTATGAAGATGAGAGTGAGAGTTCGAAACTATTACAATAATTTTGGGAGAAGAGTTTTGAACTCAGGACACATGGGTAAAAATATAACACTCTATCCACTAGGATATTTGACCACTTACACATTTTGCATCACTTTACCGCATATACTTATCATTTTTGCCCTACGTTACCCTATTTCTTCACCTAGATTAACAAAGATGTTGATTTCGTTAAAGTGGCAATAACTCTCTGATCTTTTAACCATGCATACAATTAAGGATACACCAAAGGAATTTTGATTTTCAATGACAATCTTTGAAAAATTGAACCATTAGCATTGACCTGGATGAAACTTGGGTTAACATTGGCGTAGGGTTCGGTTATTGTTAATTAGTTTACTGGTCTAGCTAGGGTTTTTTTTTTTTTTTTTTTCTTTCAATTTTTGGTGTTCATTGTATGTGAAATTAACATTTCTTTTAACCTAGTTGACTGAATAGGATAATGCAGAACATGGAGGATGAGTACATGAATTAAAATGAGAGGAAACACTTTTTTTTTTTTTTTTTATAAGAGTTACAGTAAAACTTTGTGTACAATTCATGTAGCATTGCTCAAATAAGTTTTTTATTTGGTTTTGCATGATTATTCTATTATTTTGGGATCCTTTCTTAGTTTTAAAAATGATTCGCTTTCTTTTTACTTTGGCAGTTTTCTTAGTCCTTTTCAATCTTTAGTGGTTTAAATTACTAATTTCAATTGTATTTGTTTACACACAAAAAATCAAAACACAATGATTCCAAACTATAGCCTAATCATATTATTCTCCACTATTAAATTGGAAGTCTCAAGTCCGGCTTCCTCTAACTAACGAGTTCAATGCTTAATTTATAGTTAATCAACAATTTGGTTTAGCCGAATTTCTCTTTACTTCCAATATCGTTACATAAAAAATAAAAACACATTAATTCCACCATGTTTCTTTACAAAACTTAATCATTTAAATCCAATCCCAATATCGTTACATAAAAAAAAAAAAAAAAACACAATAATTCCAACATCGTACTGTACAAAACTTAATCACTTACATTCCAATCCCTTAATATGTTCCTCTCTTAGTCCACTAGGTAGCTTATTTAAACTACATATTAATAAAACTCTCTTTGTTAACCAAAAGATAGTGAAAAGACTATTTAGTCTTCTATCACAACAAAATAGTTAAGGGCAGTAACATGATTTCACAAAACATATTTTGCTGTTTTTGTTTAGGCCTCACCTACAGGTGATTTTAACATCTCTAATTTTAAAAAATAAAAAATAAACCTCTCTCCTTCAATTTTAAAAACAAAAATAAAAATAAAAAAATTTCACACACTGGTTTGTGTGTGGGCATATACTAGTTGGTATTCAAATTAGGTTTGAAATTTTCCTTGTGCTTTTTTATTTATGTATTCAGAGTCCATGCATTGTGAAATTTATTAGTATGAGTTAAACACCGACACGTATTGTTACCAATCCATTATCTATCCAGATTTTATCACACCTTTGTCAATTAAAAATATACTCACCATCTTGTGCTATAATTTGGTTACATTAGACATATTTCTCCGTGTTAACTGAATTACAGAAGCAAAATGGTTGCCTTAGGGCGTAAGGAACGAAAACTGGTAGATTAATTTGTACCTGATTGTAGCTAACACTAAAATCCATTAGCCATTAATTTGAGGGAGGGGATCCATATTAAATCGAAGGCTCGGTTTTGGGGAAGGGGATTAAATCGTGCAACTTTAATTTTTAATTTTTAATTTTAGAGCATAAGAGCTTGTTTTTATTTCATCCAACTTTTACCAATATATATGTCGGAAAAATTATTATCCAGTCCCTAATTACTAATCTTCATTGACTGAAACCTTATTAGTTTTTAAATTTTGATTGAAGTCTCTAGCATTTATATGATAATGAATTTACATGTTTATTACATATTTTTTAAAATAAGAATTAGTAATTGATTTAGGGCTTTAATATATTATACTCACACCTCTATTAAACTCTTAATTAATTTTCAATCCAAACATTTCCAAAATAAATAAATAAATAAATAAATTAGAACAAGTTTGTACCCATTAGTTTTTTATAAAAAGATTCTCAATTTTTTTGTACCCATTAGTTTTTTATAAAAAGATTCTCAATTTTTTAATCTTAAATGTACCCATTCATATAATTTTCAATTTTTTTTTAATCTTAAATGTACCCACTCTTAATTTGTTATATGTAAAATGTACCTTTTTTTTAATATAAAACATACAAATTTTTTTTTAAATAAAATGTACCCAATTTTTAATATAAAATCCATTCAAATTTTTTTAATCCATTTTTAAACTTATATGGGTACATTTTTTTTTTTTTGTTGATTTGAGAATGTATCTATGTCAAGTTTAATCAAAGAAATTTACTAATGTTATTAAGCCTAATATCTTCTCTCTTTTTTTGTGTTTTGAAGAATGTATCCATGTTTTGGTACAATAATTTTTTTTTGTTAATTTTGATGAATGTACCTACACACACACACACACAATATAATAGAGAGTATAATTTATATTTTATTATTTTTAATCCCACAAATTATGGGTTATATTTAAAATCTCATTATTATAAACAAATACAAATTTCAATTCACAATTTTTAATTTAAAAAATATAGTAACTTACACGATTACATTAATGTCAGGGACTTCGATCAAAACTAAACACAGACAAGGCTTCAGTCAAAGAATATTGATAGTTAGAGACCGCATCCAAAGTGTCATATATATGTGGATAATGGAGATTACACAAAACTCTCTCCCAGTCCTTTCCATCCACCCAATCATAACAAAAATCCAAATCTTTAAATTCAATTTCTTGGGTTACATTTCATCTCTAATCCACAAAATCTCCTCCCAAAAAGAAGAAACATGTAATTTCACACGTATATACATACATGCATTCTCACCCCCTAGCTAGTCACATACATTGTGAGACTCTCCAACCTCCTCCTCTCTCTCTCTCTCTCTCTCTCTCTCTCTCTCTCTCTCTCTCTCTCTCTCTCTCTCTCTCTCATGGATAATTTTTCCATTGGCACATTTATTATGGTGCTTTCTATTCTGCACCATCATGTACGCGGAAGTCGCCAGTACTCTAGTGAAGGATGTGATATTTTCCAAGGAAGATGGGTTTATGATGAATCATATCCCCTTTATACATCATCACAATGCTCCTTCATAGAGAAGGAATTCGATTGCCTACAAAATGGTCGTTCCGACAAATTCTATCTCAAATTCCGGTGGCAGCCTACTCACTGCAACTTAACAAGGTAAATATATGTAAGTGGTGGATTGCTTTGGTGATTAGAGTCTTCCTCATCAATTCACTACGTTTGAGTCCAAAACCTCCCCCTCCCTTAGTATCAATGGCTAGATACCCCTTTGCCGCATGCTTTCTTCAACTTTTAGTTTCAGAAATTATAAATACTTTAATTCTTTAATTCTTTTTTTTTTTTTTAATACTGGTGTATATATAGGTTCAACAGTGAAGATTTGTTGGAAAGATTTAAAGGGAAAAGCATCATGTTTGTTGGAGACTCATTGAGTTTAAACCAGTGGCAGTCACTCACTTGTATGCTTCATACAGCAAATCCACAGACTCAGTATAACCTGTACAGGACTGGAGGACTATCCACATTCGCATTCCCAGTGAGACCATTGATACCTATATACTTTACCTTCTTTTTAATTGTTAATGCATTTCTTATATTAGGGAAATAATGTGTGTTGGTTTTTGTCTTCTGATTCACGGTTGATTTATTCAATCATGGGTTATAAATAAAACAAGAAAATAAGATAAAAAGGAAGTGCAGAATCTTTTTCCTTCACAGTAATGCATAATTTTTTATTGGGACATTTTAAATGCGATCCTTAACTATCAATGTTCTTTGACTGAAACCTTTGTGGTTTTTAGTTTTTGATTGAAGTCACTTACATGAACATTAATGTAATAATGTATTTCTATGTAGGTTATTATATTTTTACATTAAAAATAAAATTTATAGTTATTTATATTAATGAGATTTTAACAACACTCATAATTTATAGGATTAAAAATATTAAAGATGAATTATACTCTCCAATATATTGTGTGTGTATAACATTATAAATTTTTTTTTATTAAACTTTTGATATGGATACATTCTCAAATCAACGAAATAGAATGCACCCATATAAGTTTAAAAAATAGATTAGAGAAAAGATTGAATATGAATTTTATATAAAAACTGGGTACATTTTATATTAAAAAAAAGGGTATATTTTTAATATAACAAATTGGTATATTTAAGAATGGATACATATAAGATTAAAAAATTGATTTTTTTTGGGTAAATTATATAAAATTATCTTAATTATTGGCTTAGTCACAGTTTCATACCCCATCTTTAAAA